ATGTGTTTAAAATCCTCACAGATTTAAATCAGTATCAGTTTCCTAATATTTGTATAATCGACTATTATCGTCGCATTATTGAAGTTGAATCGCTCTTTGCTTTGATCTATTTCCACCTGCCAATCGTTCTGCATCTGTGTGCAATAAAAGGACATCTGTCGAAGTAGTAAATTCTACGTCAAGTCTTCTGTACACACTGGAAAATTACATTCTTCCTACCATCGTAACTTCGACTTAAATGAATATTTCTATTCGAAAAAATTATTAAATGCTATCAAAGTGTGGGTGAATGAGCTCGCAAAATTACAAAATCATCCATACCACAGTTTATTTTGTAATAATCGATGATTGAAACTCATAACAAAAAACATAATTAAACGTCTTTACATTTTCCACGCTATCACAAGTTTGAATTGAATGCAATAATTTATATGAAAAAATTACTGTCTGTTTTTGTGAAATGTGGCTGAACGAACTTGGAAAACTTCAAAATTATTTATGTCAACAGCTTTTTTTAATCATCGATAATGTTGAGACTCGCCACAGGAGGTACAATAATTTTGAACTAAACGAATAGTTATGTTTGAAAAAATTATTAGACATTCTCATAACAGAGGTGAATGAATTTAAAAAGTTTCAGAACGATCCATGCATTTGTTTTCGATTTTTAATTACCGAAATTTAAGACTTACCATAGGAAACATAATCAGACATGATTACATTTTTCACAGTACTATAACTTGGAATCGAATGGACACATTTGTATGAAAAAATTATGGCATATTCTCGAAACACGAGTGAATGAACTCACAAATTATCAAAACAATCCGCGCAATGGTTATTTTTTCAATCACCGTAGATTAAGGCTCATTGCAGGAGACATAATCCGAGCAGATAGGCACGGTTCTTGTTAATTGCTCGGAAAACGTAACAGCGAACGCGCAACTCGTTATGTAATGAATCAGTGAGACATAGTCCCAGAAGCTGTAAGATACACGCCGTTAATAAAAGCTAGGATTCAGGAAATTGAGTCGCGTTAATTGACACATTATACCGGAACGTTTCTTGCGTGTGAAAGTCGACGATCTTTCCGTTTGACATTGCTTCTTACAATTAGTTAAATCCACCGGCACCCTTTATTCCATTTATCATCCACACGTGTGTCTATTAATCCGACCTTTCCGCATCCAAAGAAGGACGAACACTTTGCGTTAATTCGCTCTCGCCAATTTAATTAATCAAGATTCGTCGTCGAACGACGCGAGACTAGATTTCTGGAAAAACGATAATGGAATCTCTAAAAATTGCAGAAATGTATAAATTAAAGAAATGAGATTGGAATTGTAAAAATGAATAAATTGTACGTGGGAAGTAAGTATTTAATTGTAACGCTTGTTGAATTTGGTTTTGAGATAATTCAAAATTGTAATTAATTATTTTCAAATTTAAATACAAAATAAAATTATTCATTACATTAAAATAATTAAATTCAGAACATAGAATCAAAAAATATTATTATTATTTTACAAAAGAATATAAAGTTTATTCTTCTTATATATATATACGTAAATTAATTTTTATTAATTAAAGTTAGAATAATACGTATTGAGCATCTAACAGTAAAAATAGTTGCAAACTATATTAATATTAACTCTAACGCACTTATATTATTTATTATATAAAGTTCCAAAATAATATCCTTAGAATAAAATTCAGATAAAAATGGGAAACCTAATAAATTTATAATAGAGGAAGTCGAATAAGTATTTACCTAATACCAATGGCAGTATAACGCGGCTGACTATTGCAAGCTGATTCTACTTATTGGAAAGATTGAGTCGAATGATGT